CTATCGTGCAGGTCACGGGTTCAACTCCAGGGAACTGTGCAGATACTGTACACAGGTAAGCTGAGGTCAAGGGATCGACCCCTGGGATCTGCATCGGCTACTGCCAAAGGTAAAAACTGTTTCAGAAGGGCCTGTGGAAATCGAAATTCGGCAGCCCTTGCCCAAAAAAAGAATTCCGGGCCGGGGGCGCTGCCGGTTTTGAACTCGCTCAGTGAGTTTAACATTTTTGCCGAGTTGGGGGCCCTAAGAAATTACAAAAACCCTACTCTTTTTTTTTTTTTTTTTGGACCTAATTTTTTCAGTGTGGTGTGCTTCGGTGTGCTGTGCGGTGGGGTGCACAACGCGTGCACAAATCCTTACACCGAGGTGCGCCACAACTATGGATATCATTCATTGACCGGTCCCATGTAATTGCGAACTGTACTGGGAAGATTGTCACGCTGGGCCAGGCCAGGCCGGGCCGGTCGGGCATCCGGGTGTGTCGCCCAGTGGTGTCTGATGCCCGGTGTACCTGGGTGTGGGACAAAATAAAAAGAACTGGCGGTGGGGGKTTTCTGTGCATGCTCAGAGGAGCCCAAATCCAGGCTCTTTTTCTTTTTTGAGTGTTGGCTGTCAAGGAGGGGGAAGGGGTAAAAAGTCGTTTTAAAGGGGCTGAAGCCGTATTGTGATTCTGGTATGTTTGTTTTTTCTCAGTTCGGTGAGGATTTCTGATTCGTGTTTGTTTCTTTTTTTAAACCACCAGTACTTCCTAGAGTCGTGCCCGTTGGGCACTTTAGTAGACTGGACGGGTGAACGGGCAACCGTTGCAGTGGAACTTTTGACCCAATATTTAGAAGTTACTTTTTTATTTCCTTGGGCAGTTTCTTTCAACGCGCCACAATTTTAGGAAACGTACGGGCTACGACAGGAGCGCCCAAATTCATCCGACTAGAAACGTTTCTACTCTATTTTTTTCCGCGGCCTATAGGTGGGCCAAGTACTGGTGGTTTAATGAAAGAAAGAAAGCACTTCTTCAGGTTCTCATAAGCCCAAGGCAGAAGGAACATGGCCCCAGCGTAGGAATTGGCATTCGCAAACTCAGAACAGTTCTAAAGCAAGGAAATGCCATAAACTGACTCTTTTGATTTTGGCCTGATAGCAGCTCGAAGACAGAGACACCAAGGAAGCGGGGGCGGTCACGAAAGAATCCTGAAGCACCATGGGCTGGTGCGCAGATTGCACATGCAAATTTGATGGAGGTAGAACAAGATGAAATGGAGGAGGACAATGAGGATCTCAGGTTTGTTGAGAAGACTCCATCGACTGCCAGGGCAAGGAAAGCAGGAGGGAAGTCCAGGTCTCGCACTGGTGACGACCATGGGAAGCCTGCTCCTGAGGAGTATGCGGCTGTGAGTGTGAAGAACATAAGCCTGATTTATTTGCGGCGTTGTGTCATTGAAGAATTGCTCGATTATGCAGATTTTGAAACGAAGGTCCCAAACACTTTTGTCAGGATCCGAGTCCCTTCTGCAAAGAGCAATGAGCTGATGTATCGCCTGGTGCTTGTGACTGGTGAGCCCTTAATTGAGATCTCTGCCAATGTGTTTGCTGTTCTATGGTCATCACTGTCTGCTGTTACTAGTTTGTGACGTTTGGCTGATCTCCTCAGATCTATTATTATTATATAGTAACAGTGTAACGCATATTGATATCTATCTTGAACTGCGACCTTGTTATTCGTTTATTATAACACTTTTGTTTTCATGTTAAACGATGTATATCTGTTACATCTTTGACGCCACACGGGTCCTACCGGACCCGACTTAAGGCTAGAGGGACACATCAGGGCCTAAAGGCCCGACCTTGGGGGTACTACAGGCCATAAAGGCCTCACCTTGGACCAGACCCAACGGGCAGGCCCAAACGACATTACCGTTTGGGCCTGGCGGCGCTCTTGAGGCTGCCGCCCGCCGGTTGGGGCTGAACCGTCCATCTGGACGGTTCAGGGCACGGCCAGGCCTCGCAGCATTGAGGCCGGCCTCTGCCCCACCGGTA